CAAAGGTAATATCTTAATCCATTCTATCAGAACTAATTTAATCTCCCAGCTTTCAAAGGTAATATCTTAATCCATTCTGTCAAAACTAACTTAATCTCCCAATTTTTAAAGGTTATATCTTAATCCATTCTATTAAAACTAATTTAATCTCCCAGCTTTCAAAGGTAATATCTTAATCCATTCTATCAGAAATAAATTAATCTCCCAGCTTTCAAAGGTAATATCTTAATCCATTCTATCAGGACTAATTTAATCTCCCAGCTTTCAGAGGTAATATATTAATCCATTCTGTCAAAACTAATTTAATCTCCCAGCTTTCAATGGTAATATCATAATCCATTCTGACCAAAAAAAAGTAATTTAATCGCCATTGCTAAATTTTTATTTAATGATCCCATAACTTTATTAACTTTTTTGTCATAAAATAATAATTTGAAAAAAAAATCCTAATAAAGTGAATTTTCAGAAGCAGATGAAAGACATTTACAAGAACTACCAGGTCGACTTTGAGATGTTTAATTACAATATGGATAAATACTTAGCTCTTGCCAGATCTTAAACCAATAATAATCAGATGGACTGTGTCAAGTGACCCTACATTTAAAAGAGATTAGTATGTTTGATTCACAACAATATCCTTTGAACATTTATCTATCAATTTCCTCCATTATATGAAGAAGAAATAAAAAAGTCACTTTACAGAGAGAACACAAGAGCAGATGGTGAATTTCTCATTCCTTTATAAAAAGCGAGGTTTTTGGTATGCAACAATTTTCATTTAATCCCGCCGGGATATTTTCATTGAAAGATACTTTGAAAATCTACAAAGGCAACTAAAAATCCGCAAAATCCGCAAGCCCTCGGGTTTATCATTGAAACTCCTCTTTAATAATGAATTTCATTTACTCTCAAACAAATTAGAATCAATGGAAACTTTTCTGAGAGTAAATGATACATTGATTCTTGAGCTAAGAGTACTGTTGTGAATCTGACTATCACTTACATGGAATTAAGTTTTAGTTCTTTAATCTACAGGGCTACCCACAAAGAAAGAGACTTCAGAGACGACTGTACGGAATTCATATGTTCTAGTTCCTTATATTCATGATTCCCTACAACAGTTAAACTATTGTTTATTTCGTTGTCAAATTATTTAATAAGCCAATAAAAAGACTAGATTCTTGGCAGAAGACTAAACTTTACCTGAGATCGTCATATTTTAAGAGTTTTTAAATTCTTTGTGGGTAAGTAACCCTGTAGTTTCAAAATAAAAAAATACTTTTTTATTTCTAATAGCGTATCATTGTATCATTATAATCTGAAAACTCAGCCCATTCTTGCTGCCAAGTTCCATGACAAAAATATTTTAAAAGCTAATCCCGGTGAGTACTGCTTTGAGAACCAAAAACTGTAGAATAGGAAGACGACATTAAAGCAATACTGAAGTGCATTTGTTACAAAGCAGTTAGTTTTATTGTTTACATATAATATCACTCCTTTTGTTAAATAGGTCTGTTTACACTGCACTTTAAAACTTTCAAATGTTTATTGGGCTCTTTAGAGTATTTAAAGTCATAAATTTCAGTGTTCTCACGGTGTTTAATTAATCATAAAGCTATGCTGAATTCGCCGTTATTCAAAAAAAAACTTTAAACATGACATTCATTGATTTTACCATGGAAAGCTAAAAAAAATTATTGTGCTTGATTTTAAAATGTTGCTTAAACGTTTCTTTGTAAATATTTGTATAACTTAAACAGGGTTTCCAACTTTTCTTTACATCTCTTTCGCGAAATTTAGTAAACGACAATAATTTGTTAATTTGTAAAAAATCTGAAACTTTTTGACTGAAAGGAAATGAGTCTTGCCTTTTGCCCTTTTAAAAGTATTTTTTTATCTTATTAATTTTCCATATAAGCGTGTAAATACTAGCTTTCTTTATAAAATAAATCATACATTCTTTATTATTTGCCATTTTTAAAATCACTTACAAAATATGTTTTAGATCTGTTTTATTTTTATTTAGATATGGATAAATGTTTAACAAAATGTTAACCAACTGCAAATTGTGATAATGTGAAATGTAACCCTGAAGTGTCAATCAAATTTTAAGGCATTATTAGCAAACAAAAGCAATTTGTACATTTTCCTCAAAATGCCAAAATATTTTTTTGTCAAGTTATATTTCGAATGATACTACTCCAAGTGTCTTGATAATACCGATTTGCAATGGTATTTTTCTATTTCTCATTAGCGGATTTTAGAGCACCAGACAAGCATGCCAATGTCTAATTAATTTGTTGCAATAGAGTTCTTAAAGAGGATTTGAGAATGATCGATGCCACTTTTTTAAATTGAATTAAATACTAAATAATGTATCATAGCTTTTAACTTGTTTTGCCATTGTATTAAGGTAAATCCAGCTTATATAAATGTATGCATTATATGTTTCATAGAGAATATAATAAAAATTAATCTAAGCTTTTTAATTTTGTTTCTAACTTTTTAGATAATTTAAAAATAAATCTTAAAGCTGAGGGCGCCCATAATTATATTGAGGACTCTTGTATCGATACCAAGATATTCTGCTGATCACTGTATCAATACCAATATATTCTGCTGATCACTGTATCAATACCAATATATTCTGCTGATCACTGTATCAATACCAATATATTCTGCTGATCGCTGTATCAATACCAATATATTCTGCTGATCTCTGTATCAATACCAATATATTGTATCTAAATCAGATCTATGATTGGATCAGGAGATTGTATAAAAGTATTCTGGCAAGAGAATCCTGAACAGTAGGACAATATTTCCATCTTCATTCTCTCCTAGATAAATATATATTAGAACAAGAGAACTCTAAACAGGAGAACTCTGAACAGGAGAACTCTGAACAGGAGAACTCTGAACAGGAGAACTTTGAACGGGAGAACTCTGAACAAGAGAACTCTAAACAGAAGAACTCTGAACAGGAGCACTCTGAACAGCAGTACTCTGAACAGGAGAACTTTGAACAAGAGAACTCTGAACAGGAGAACTCTGAACAGGAGAACTCTGAACAGGAGAACTTTGAACAGGAGAACTTTGAACAAGAGAACTCTGAACAAGAGAACTCTGAACAGGAGACTCTGAACAAGAGAACTCTGAACAGGAGAACTCTGAACAAAAGAACTCTGAACAGGAGAACTCTGAACAGGAGAACTCTGAACAAGAGAACTTTGAACAGGAGAAATTTTAACAGGAGAACCCTGAACAGGAGAACTCTGAACAGGAGAACCCTGAACATGAGAACCCTGAACAGGAGAACTCTGAGCAGGAGAACTCTGAACAGGAGAACTCTGAACAGGATAACTCTGAACAGAAGAACCCTGAACAGGAGAACTCTGAACAGGAGAACCCTGAACAGGAGAACCCTGAACAGGAGAACTCTGAACAGGATAACTCTAAACAGAAGAACCCTGAACAGGAAAACTCTGAACAGGAGAAATTACGTTGTACATTGTCCTTATAAGCTAAATGTGCTCATTAGTAAATACGTAAATCATATATTGCGATTAACCCAATCTTGATATGAAGATATTTAACTTCGTCAATTTGTGATTATTTACTACATTATGTATCTAACAGCGCATAACTTGTAATTATGTTGTTAAGACCTAACTCTAACTTAACATCTAGAAATATACTTAGTTGATAAAGAGGCTCCATACTGTTTACTGCAAGAAAGTAATCGTTCCTTGTTTTGATAAACAGGTTGAGGATCGTGCACATTGGTTTGGCATTGATAGCTACGAGCTTCCGATTGATATTGATAGCGTAAGAAATCGTGCCCATTGGTTTGGCATTGATAGATTAAGAGTTTCCAATTGATATCTATTGCTTACGAGATCGTGCCCATTGGGTTGGCATTAATAGATAAAAAGCTTGCGTCCGTGTTGACATTGATAGCTGAACTTGTGTCTGTGTTGACATTGATAGCTGACAAATTGTACCTGGATAGATACGGGTCTGAGATCCCCTTATGGAGTAGGGCATTTACTACACTGTTACTTGAAATACGGATAAAAACCTGAATGTCAATTATTAAATTCGTGTACCTCCTCTAAGCTAACCCCTAAATCAGGTGCCCGATTTTCCAGTTGAAATGGATCCTGAAAATAAAGTTTTTTTTTTCTTTTTTTACCGCCGTTTGACCAACACTATCGATCTATGATTCCCCCCACAGAGGAACGTAAAGCTACTTGAGAAAAATTTGAAAAAAATTCGCTCATTTTCATTTCAAAAGCTCAAAAACTGTGTACAACTTTTTTTTCGGAAAATTAAAATTTTTACTTAAAACAATTGGTTCCAGCCAGCTCTACTAATTTTGCGATCTGGACATTTTGTTGGACGAACATTTGGAACCCCTTGGTTGAGTAAAATTGGAACCCCCTTGGTAAAGTAAAATTAGAACCCCTTGGTAAAGTAAAATTGGAACCCCTTGGTAAAGTAAAATTGGAACCCCTTGGTAAAGTAAAATTGAAACCCTTGGTAAAGTAAAATTGGAACCCCTTGGTAAAGTAAAATTGGAACCCCTTGGTAAAGTAAAATTNAACATAAATTCGCTTTCTGGTTCCTATACAATCTATACTATAGTTTCAGTTTTAAGCATTTAAAGAACAGGTGTGTGGGCGGAGGGGGGGGTGCTTTTTGATGATCTAGAGGAAAATATTGAAAAATTGGACATTTTTCATTTTGTTCATTACTCTTTAATCTTTATTTTCCCAAACTTTCATGAAAACCTTTGAGGGAGGGGATTATTTTTAGAGAAAATAAGCACCCTTGTTAAAGAATTTTGTTTTTTCCTTGAATCTACAGAACATTGAATCCACCTCAAGCTCTACTCGTCTAAGTTAAAGGAAGGTATTTTATTATTTTAATATGAAAAAACTCAATGTTTAGGATTTATTTATATTTAATGTCGTCATTTTAAATATGCAACACTTAAATTGGTCACTTGAAAAAAAATTACCAATAGCTGAGTAAAATAATATCAAAAAGTAATGAAAGAAAATAAGTCCAAAGATTTAAAGAAAAAGTTAGAACAAAAAGATTAACAAATTCATGAAGGGGAGTACATTTTCATTTCAAGTTCACAGTTATTAACAATTCCCAGTTCCCAGTTCCCAGTTCTTCCCATTTCTTCCCAGTTCCCTAAGTTATCAGGCCCCACCTTTCCCCTTCCTTATGTATTGTTAGTACGGCATGTTTGTTTTTACCATTATCAAAGCTATTAGATTATAATGCAAAGGGTTGATTATGATTACTGATGGGTATCAATTTGACTTCCATATTTGAAAAAAAAATTTAAATTTTTTTAACTTTTAACCAGAAGCTATTCTGAAATCTCAGGGGAGTGCAAAGTTCCTGCCGCCCCCCCCCCCGTATCCACCTCTGTTACACGAACTTATTTACTATTTTAAACGACTATTTATTTAGTTTTTTATTTTATTTTTTGAATTCCTTTCTCTTGTTCACAAATCCATTTTAAAAAGTTAAAAGTTGTCATTTAAGGCTCATCTTTTTGTGTCTTCTTTACTGCTATCTATTATTTTTTAATAGTTTTTTCTATTTTAGGTTGCCTCTTCAACTTGGACTACAAACTTGCTCAGGTAAACACTTCACAAGATACACTTTATTTATGTTATCTTAATTGTGTATCTAAAAAAATAATTGCGGGTCAAACCTTTTAAATTTTTAAATCTGCAGTTATGGCTTATTATTAAAAATTTAAAAATATCACGAAGTTATTTCAAAAATATATATTTTTTTTTTCAAGGTTGGATCCTGAATTCAATGCAGACCTTCCTGAGTCCAAACGTTGGCTCAAAGAATACGGTGCAAGAGAAAACGAAGCATTTAGGTAAAGCCATAGATTTATTGAAATGACAGACAGGACACTAGATGTCGTCTTTTCAAGGTTTAAATGAAACTCGTTCACAAGAACCCTGAGGCAAGAGCCCAGTGGAGTTTCGCGCATTCGGCGTAGAATTAAAAGACTGAGAGACGTCTGTTCTACGCCGACTGCGCGGAACTCCACTGGGCTTCCTCAGGGTTATTGTGTACGAGTTTCATCCAAATCTCGAAAATACGACATCTTGTGTCCTATCTGTTATTTTAATGTATCTATGGGTAAAGCAAACTGTGTTACAGGGAGTGTCAATGAAATCCTAAGTGGCTCTTTATTTAAAAAAGTTGTCAACGTTTTTAAATTAACCTTTTATCCCTTATTTAAAAAAAAACAGTTACATTACAATGTGATTCAAAGATTGCAAGTTCTCAAGTACAAATCGATGAGAATTTTCCCAATTATTTCTTAAAAGCCAATGCTAAAAATAAGCACTAAATATGCAAAATGTACGTGTAAAAGGCTACAGAAAAGAGCATTTGTTAGTTATGAGCGGNTGCATTGTACATTGTACATCTTAGATTCTTGTGGAGTGTTTTAAAAGTCTCTTCAACTTTATATTCAAAACATGTGCATTGTACATTGTACATCTTAGATTCTTGTGGAGTGTTTTAAAAGTCTCTTCAACTTTATATTCAAAACATGTGCATTGTACATTGTACATCTTAGATTCTTGTGGAGTGTTTTAAAAGTCTCTTCAACTTTATATTCAAAACATGTGCATTGTACATTGTACATCTTAGATTCTTGTGGAGTGTTTTAAAAGTCTCTTCAACTTTATATTCAAAACATGTGCATTGTACATTGTACATCTTAGATTCTTGTGGAGTGTTTTAAAAGTCTCTTCAACTTTATATTCAAAACATGTGCATTGTACATTGTACATCTTAGATTCTTGTGGAGTGTTTTAAAAGTCTCTTCAACTTTATATTCAAAACATGTGCATTGTACATTGTACATCTTAGATTCTTGTGGAGTGTTTTAAAAGTCTCTTCAACTTTATATTCAAAACATGTGCATTGTACATTGTACATCTTAGATTCTTGTGGAGTGTTTTAAAAGTCTCTTCAACTTTATATTCAAAACATGTGCATTGTACATTGTACATCTTAGATTCTTGTGGAGTGTTTTAAAAGTCTCTTCAACTTTATATTCAAAACATGTGCATTGTACATTGTACATCTTAGATTCTTGTGGAGTGTTTTAAAAGTCTCTTCAACTTATTATTCAAAACATGTGCATTGTACATTGTACATTGTACATTGTACATTGTACATTGTACATCTTAGATTCTTGTTGAGTGTTTTAAAAGTCTCTGCAACTTTATATGTTTGAAAACATACCTCAAAGCGATAAGCATCTGCAGTAATCCCAATAGCGGATTTTAAAAAGATTAGAATTTCGTTTCAATAAAAATTTTGATATTTAAAAATTATTTTAATCTTTTTAATTTAAACAATAACATCGGTTTGTTTCCATGCTGATAAAATTAGTAATCTTTATTTTCATGGTTGCTATCTTTTATCATTCATTAAATCAAAAATGAGTCCGCTAAAATATCCATTGGACTAAATTAATAAATAGCAAGATGTAGATTCAACTTAAACCGGCGCACAAGAGAAGAAGTTAAGCCACGTCTCTGTTATTCAGATTCGTTTCAATATTCATTAAATCTGGTTCCATCCAGATTCAGAACACCTTTTTAAAAAACTAGGCTTTTAGGGCGCTTCGCGCCCATCTTCTATTTAAATTGTGAACATGTTCTTTTTGTTTACATTTTAAAACAAAGAAGAAGACATTTTTGCGGATTTAAAAAAAAAATCGCGGATTTTTAAGAATTTAATTTTTTTACAAAA